TGAGAGAGACCACGACCAGAGCCCTGAGACACATAGAATCATAAAATCATAGAATCATAGAATCATAGAATGTTTAGGGTTGGAAGGGACCCCTAGAGGTCACCCAGCCCAACCCCCCTGCAGGAGCAGGGACACCTTTAACCAGATCAGGTTGCTCACAGCCCCGTCCAACCTGGCCTTGAATGTTCCCAGGGATGGGGCCTCCACACCCTCTCTGGGCAACCTCTTCCAGTGTTTCACCACCCTCATTGTAAAGAATTTCTTCCTTAGATCCAGTCTAAACCTACCCTGGTTTAGTCTAAAACCATTACCCCTTGTCCTGTCACAGCTGTCCCTACTAAAAAGGGGAAAAAAAACATGTTAGCACTTGCATTGGATCTTACCAACCCTTTTAGCAAACATTCCCTAAATGAGAGTAGATATTCCACGGAGGTGCCCGGTGAAGGCTGCTCTGGCACGGCTGACCCTGGGTACCGATGCTTCACCCTCATGAATACGGCGGGCAATGGTTCGTGACGGGGGCATTTTTTAGAAATCCTGATTACAATTTCTGCCACTGCAGAATGGTAAGTGATTATCGTTTGGGCTGGACGCCTGGCTGGGTTTGTCTTTCAAAGGGCTCCCAATAGAAATCTCTTTGCAGAAGGATTTGTTGAAAACCAGTTCAGCAAGAGAGAGAGGGACTATTGCTTTGTCATGGTATCTCTGCCCCGGCGTGTTGTGTAGCCTTCGTGAATGCAGTAATCCTCCCTCTCTCCCCATTTGTTAAAGAAGATGCCTGACTCAGTATTTTTCAGTAATGGCAGTTACTATTTTTTGCCTTGTTTCCAACATCAGCGTCTGTTGGTTTTATACCGTTGGAGAACAAAAGCAGACACCAAGCCCTTGCAGAGCAGTTGCAGAAGCAATCAGTGACTTGCAGATTTTATAAACTCAATGCTGTGAGCATAACAGGTTTAACACGGTGGGGCAGCACTGCCCTCCCGAGGGACAGGGACTCATGCCTGGTGGCTGGGGACTTCAGCCAGGGGAGGAGGGAGAGGCAGGTCTGCAGGCTGCAGAGTACCTGGGCATCTGAGGGTAACCAAACTCTGGCCACCACAAGCCCTTCTTTTCTTTCTAAAAGCTTGTTCACACACTAAGGAAAACAGTGTAACAAAAAAATGCTTCATTTTCCCAGCTGCTAAACATGGCAGATAAAGGCTAACAGAGGCCCTCAAAGAATGCCATGGTTAATACTAATTCCTTTCAAGAATAGCTAATACACAGCCAGTGCTAAATATTATTCTGTTAACCCCAGCACAGCATCTTAACACACATCCACAGTCCAGCTTAAGGCCTAACCTTTGCTTTAATAAGGTAACAAACCCCACTCTTCTGGGTCTTAATGAACTCGAAAACGAATTCAGAAGAGCCCCCTTTCCCCTTCTGCTTGTGTTTTCCCAAACTCTCCGGGTCTGACCCTTCCCAGGATGAGACAGAGGCACTTTAAGAGGAATGAAATCACCCCAGAAAACGGCATTCTCCAGAGTGGTGCCAGCAGAGAAAGGAAGATAAAAATGAGAGGAGAGCAGAGGGGAAAAACAGTGATTAAAGTGATCTGGTGACCGAAATAACACTGCACGCAGGGTCACTCGCTGATGTGAAAAAGGCAGCTATTCCAGAAAGCTGGGAGCCTGAGGAGCATAGAAGGGAATCCACCACAGTGAGAGAGCCGGGGGCTCCCTGCGGGCACGGGGCACCGCTCCACCGCCCAGTGCCAGGCTTTAAAGCACAGGGCAATAATTACGGTCACCCAGCAATTACCATCTTCCCCCTCCAAGCCCAGGTGCTGAAGCTGCCACGCTCTGCCCGGCTGCAGGGCACGGCACAGCTCCCTGCCACTGCTCGCCCTCACAGCCTGTGGGTTCGGTGTGAGAGCAGCAAAGCCTCCCGGCTACGCACCTAATGCTCGGCTGGAAAAATCAGGCAAAGCTGCTCCAACCTGCTGCCTCGCACAGCCCCCCTGCAGCTACAGAGCCCCTTCCCAGGCTGCCTGCTGCCTGTGCACCCCCTTACTGGGGTGCCTGCTGCCTCTGTACCCCCTTACTGGGGTATGCACCCCCTTATTCAGGTGTTTAGCCCCTTACTGGGGTGCGTGCTGCCTCTGTACCCCCTTACTAGGGTGTGTACCCCCTTACTGGGGTGCCTACCGCCCCTGCATCCCAAACCAGCTCCCTTGCCCAGGGAAAGCACGTGGAGTGAGCGAGCTGTCTGGGGATGGAGCAAGCAGACATCTTGTGGGCAGCGTTTCCAAGCCCGAGGCATCCGAGCCTGAGAGCTAACCCTGAGGACAAAGATTAGAAAAGAAGCAGCAAAGGGTTTTCCGCACAAAGCGTTTTGCAGGGTGCAGGAGCGGGGCTGGCTGCTGTGCCCAGGCTGCCAGCCCCAGCCCTGGCTCCGCGCCACTGACTCACAGGGTGACATCCAAACGCCTTTTGTCCCCTTCAGACTCATTTCTGGAGCGGTGGTGTCCTCTCAGAGTCATCCTCCCAAAGATTTGCACTTTGCCCACAGCGGTCTAGACACACAGTTCATAAATGACTCATGGCTTGCTTGTGCTCATGAAGTCTGTCCTTGCTTCTGGCTCTTAATTTAGATCTGTACTTCAAGAGTTGAGATCTGGGCGTCAGCCTTGACCTTGGATCTTTTCTTCCCACGTCTCTGGAGTTAGTAAATCTGCCTGTCCCACCTCCAGACGAGCCCTGCCAGCACTCACCCATGCAGGGACCTTATTTCTCTAGAAAGCCCAAGCTCGCCATCAGAGCAGCTCCCACCGCTGCCCTTTGCAAGCCAGAGACCATGGTGGGATGGCTTCTCCTCCAGAGATGTCCTTGGGTATTCCCAGGGACAACCTCCTGGTGCCCAGCACCACCCGTGCCCTTCCTCACCCACCTCACACCTCGTCCTCCTCCTCCATCCACATGTTCCCATGCATGGACAGGGCTGTGGGGAGAGCCGCTCTCCTCCCAGCACCATCAGGCAGCAATCCTGTACCCCATCAGGGCCCTTCCCTGGGTCCTGCGAGAGGCACCGACCACCCCAGGGTGGAGCCAGCCCCGGCAGTGGCCCATGCAAGGTGCACAGTTGCCCTTTTGGGCTCCCACCCAGCATCCCCAGCCCAGGGCTTGCAGGCAGGCAGCTTGCCATGGCTGCAAGCCGACCTTTGGGGCACAGTCACCCTCACTTGCTCAGGGTGGCCCCCAAATTGCACGCTGAGCCTGTCTGCTCTGTGCCCAGGTAACAGAACAAGAGCAGGAGCTCCGAAAGAGTTATTTCACCATTTGCTCTCATCCCACGCTGCCCGGGCGGACAGGAGGGGGAGATCTTTACCGTGACAAATCCAGCCTGTGCAGCAGCAGATGAACTCCAGATCCAAGCTGTTTGCTTACACCAGAGACGCTCTGTACACCGTAAACCCCCCTGAAACCAATGCCAAGGGTCAGAGCTTGGTGCTGCACATCCCCCCTGCCACATGCTGCCCAGGACAGTCGCACACATGTGGCCATAGGCACAAGCGACCATCTGCGTACCTGCACCATGCAAGCAGGAGATGGACCACCCTGTCCCCTCCACGTGTCCCCAGAGCCCCCCCAGACCATGCAGAGGGCCATTCCCATAGCTGTGGCCTGGCAGCTCCCCAAAGCTGCCCTGCCTTTCACCCCGCCTGATTATTTTTTCCTCCAGAGAGGTCATTAGCTAATTCTCCAACAGCTGCACACCCTTACGGGGCATGTTTATGTTACACAGAAGAATACTACTCAGTTGGGTACATTTTCCACTGGAATTTTCATCTCCCTTTATATTTGAGTTTCAATTGCAGGTCAAATCTTGGACATAAAATACAAGTACTTAACATCAAGTAAAACACCCTCCCTTCCCCTTCCTTAATATTCCCTTTGCCACAGGGTGTTCTAAAAAGCTTCCAACTGATGGGAAGAGCTTACTAACGCCTAAGCTATCAATGGGGGGGTTGTAGCTTACACCGGCTGCGATCTTCTGCGGGTGCAGGTGCGTGAGTGCTGCACAGACCGCAGCGAATGGGGCAGGCAGGCAGGGGATGCTCATTTACTCCCCTGGGGACCCCGCACCCCAGCACAGGGGCTGAATGCGTGGCTGCTGAGTAAAAAAGAGATTAAAAACCCATTGGGGTCCTGGCTGCGGCATCCCTGGCCGGGCAGGCGGGGACGGCAGCTGCTGTTCCCCAAACCATGGAGCTGGCATGTGGCGGTTTGGTCCCATCGCCTGAGCCCAGCTGCATCCATCGCCCCTCTCCAGGCTGGCTGCTGTGTGCCCGGGGCTTCTGAGAGGTGGTGGCCTTCAGGGCATCAAGCGGGAGCTTTGCCTCAGGGCTCGCTGACCAGGGGGGGGGGGCGGGCAGCTGGCAGCATCAGGCGTTTTGGGGAATGATGTTGTGTGCGAGTGCAGTTTGGATCAGCCCTTTTCCCACGTAGCCCTGTGAATAGGGGATGTTTGTACCCTAAGACCAGCCAGGTTTCAAAAGGGAAAGCTCTGTATACCAGGGCGCGTTTATGTAATTTTTAAAAATTCATCCAAGCTAGGCCAAGCGTCTGATGAATTGCACTGGGATGGAGACAGGCCATAAACATAAAAAACGTGAACATCAGCATTCAAAGTCCCTGCAAGACCCACATCACTGCAGCCTGCTCCTGACACTCCCGTTATTCCGGGCCCACGAGCAGCCCCATGCCCGGCCACTGTCACAGTGCAGCAGGGCTGGCAATGCCCACATCCCACGGGAACTGCAAGGCTGCACTTTTGTCCCAAAGCTTTTTGGTTTAGTTTGGATTTCTCTCCGCTTAGACGATCCAGGGCATCTTTCTGCCCCCCATCATCGCTAGCATCCTCAGCTGCATCCCTGCAGGCCAGCCTGACCCCATGGCTGTGGAAACACCAGGCACGACAAACATCTCCATGTCTCTAGACCGCCCACGCAGGAGCTGGAAATAAACAGCGTGGGTGTCACCTCCGAAGACAGCGCTCTGCGAAGCGCTCAGCTACAGCAGCTGAGCTTCATCAGGTAGTTAAAATTGCAGACTTCTCGCCTGCGACGTGCTTTTTGTGGTGGTTTGTTGTTTACGGAGATGAGAAAGGGTAGAAGAGCCTTCCAAAAAATATCCCCTTGCCTCTGAGGGTACCGTTATGGAAACCCGCGGCAGCATCCGAGGCAGGGCACTGTTTTCCTTGGAGCTGGGCGGGGGCGGCTGCCTGTTCCTGCCTGCTGACACGCAGCCTGCGGTTGCGCTGCTGTCTTCGCGGATGTCACGGGAAGGACCAAATTGGTGCCCACCTCTTTACGGATGCAGGTGCCTCAGTACACCCCTGTCTGGGACAGGGAGGGCCAGAATTAGGGCTGTATCTTCTACCATGGTCTGACACATCCCGGCGCGTGATTCATGCTCCTTTCTAGGTGAGAAATGTGTCTGACAAATGGCCAGCCCAATGTCCATGGGCCTCCAGAGCCACCCACTGCCTTCACCTGAGGACCCCACAATTTTTGCCTAAAGATCACGGGTCAAAGCAGCGACCTGTCTGGCTCTACAGACAGCAAGAGGTGGAGATTCACAGCTTCTCTCATGAGTTTACTCCGGTGGCTAGTTAACCACAACTAATTATTTGGGTTTTTTTTTTCCTGTCCATCTCATCTGCACTTAACATGATTCACCTTTGAGCTTGTCTTGCTCCAATCTTCCATTTGAAACTCTGCTTGCATGCTCTTATGCACTGCAGTTTCACCCTGTAAGGCATTTTACGCAGGCCTAAAGTCATGCAGATAAGAAAATTATTATTTATTGGAGGATTTTCCTGATAATAGCAATTATTATCTCAAGCTTTTGTTGCACTGTTAAGTTATTGAGCAACAGTGTGCACAGGAAAACACAGCCCAAGCTGTTTACTCAGGCAGCTCAGAGAAAAAAACCAGACATTAGCATCCATAGCTACTAGATGCTAAATTTAAAATAAGGTATTGAGCAGCAGAATTAAGAACAGAATTTTTCCAGCCAGTTTTTCTTAGAACTTAAGGAGACAAGCTATACAGTCCTTATACAAATATTTCAGAATGAACGTAATTAACTCCCTGCGCATCTTCTGCGTAATAAACCACTGCTGAGCTTATGGTGAACCCAGAAACCAAGTGATTTTCCTTGGAACAACCAAGACTGAAACTATGCTGGAGGAAGTTTGATTTCTGAGTGATGATACGTCTACTGATGGTTAACCACGAGGATGGATGTGGGGTTTCACTTGGCCTGGAGATGAAACCCTCAATTCCAGCATCCTCTGCTTCCTTGGGGAAGGACATGGTATAAAGTCTGAACCTAAACTCAAATCCCAGTTTTGAAGCCTGAGCCAACCCTTGATTGAGCTTGGCCACCCTTCAGAGGGCCAGCTGCAGGAAGCGCTGCATCTGACACCACGTGAAAATCCCAGCTTTTCGCTCCTAATTCAAGCCTCATGCCTTATTAGCAGCAGCACACTGAGATGTTGGACCCATCTGAGAGCTGAGAGATTGGCAAGGGCTCGTGGCTGATAGAGGGTGAGCAAGAGGAGCAGTGACCAGGCATGTACCTGAAACAGGGCCATCAGCAGGAGGTTTTGCTTGGGAGGGGACAAGGGCTCAGCAGGGACTTGGTACAGTGGGAGAATCAGATCAGCCCCTTGGCATAAGAGCATTGCATAGAGTGAAATTTTGGGGCTAGAATCTGTCATTTGGTGTCAGCCACTGGTTTTACCAGGCAGAGCTGGCCTGCAAACAGAGCAGCTCCCCACTGCAAGCAGCCACACATTTGCATCTCCCGTATCGAAATGCTCCAAGAGACAGAGGGAAGGGAGGAGAGATGGAGGAAAGCGCCCATAACCAGAGCAGCAAAGCAAAGCCGTGAGAAGCCTGCCCACAGCCAGGAGCGACAGTGGCCACCACTGCTGTCTGTCTGTCCATCTGTCTGTCCGTGGGCGCATGGGGCAAGAGCCGGCAGCTGCGGAGTAGCCACACCTGCATTGCGAGCCCAGACAGCCCGGGCGCTCTGGCTTTGTGGTCTGGCATTTTGGCTGGTGTCCTCCACGGACACCGGGGGTGGGTGACGGGGGGGACGGTGACATTTGCAAGCTGGGTGAAGCATCACCGAACTTAACCTCACTGCCTGCTGGGAACTGGGCAGCAGGTCCTGAGCAGGGGGTGGATGGGGTGCCTGCTGCAGGGACCCTGCAGCCTGGGGCTCCTGAGCAGGAGCTGTGGGGGAGAGATGCCCCTTTATCCCTCCATTGCTGCACCAGGGCACGCCGAGTGCCCTCCTGCCCAGAAGGGTTTCCTACATCATCACAAAACATTTCAACCAACAACAACCAATTAGTTTTTACAGCATCCCTTGTGGTTTCCGCTCCCTCCAGATGCTTTTCCCCTGGGACGCAAAACACAGGCAGACCCACGGAGGAGAGCTGTGCACAGCCTTGCACTTAACCGCCCGCTACCCAGCAGCAAACACCCAAAACAAGGTACCTGCACCCGGCGCATCATCCCTGGGTCCTCAGCAGCCTTGGCAGCCCAGAGCCATCCTCCTCAGGTGCCAGAGATGTTAACGTTACTGTTAATGGCTGGCCCCCGCCCCAGTGTCTCCGTCTGCGCGAGTGAGGTGCTGGGAAGCAGCACTGCAGCAAAGCGCAGGAGAAGGGACGATGCTTTATGTTGATCTCAGCATGAGCCTGCAAGGGGGAAAGGGCACTTGTAGAAGGCAGGCAGTGCGTGCCGTCTGCTGGAGGGAAGGGGAAGCCCTCTGTGCCTTTTGTAATTAGGGTGCCTGTTACACTGCTGCTGGGGCAGCAGAGCTAGAGGTGCCCACAGAGAATCCCCTGGGATGAGGGACCAAACACTGGGTGCAGCTGGGCCCTGGGGTGTTCCCGGCTGTCACCTCCTGACAGCACCAGCACAGCGGTCACGGCCATGGCTCCAGCCCTGGCAGCCCAACCCTGGACCCACGGTCCTTGCTCAGACCCCGGTCCCCAGGGAATTGCTGCAGCTCCAGGGCTGAGCGCGCTGCAACAAAAGCATCTGCCCGTGTTGGGCAGACCGGCCTCACCAGTGAATGCAGGAATGGAGTCTTACCTCTGCCTGGGGAGGGAGGGAGCCAGGGACCAGGCAGGGGAGCAGCAGCCACCCCTGGGCTCCTCCCAGGAACCGGGCAATTGCATTATCTCTCACTGCAATGCCCAAAGGTTTCCCCTTGGACGCTCTGGGTGCAACATCTCTTCCACCCTATCCTTCACTGGAGAGACAGCTTTTGCAATTCTCCATCCAGCGTGTTCTTTCCATCTAGCAGGTCCCACGCATCTGGCTTGCTCTCGGAGTTAGCGCTTAAATCCCCCACATGAGGCAATGGGATTTGGTTCTGCAGCCAGCGTTGCTCGTGTACGTGTCCGTGCTCTTGGTCTGAACCCAGACAGGACACATGGGGCAAGACCCTCCTGGCAACGCTCCTGCTCTCGGGCTGGATCAGCTCTTGGAGCTGGAACTGTAATTAAGTTAATGACCACATTGCAAAAGGGTGTGGGTGGGGAGGCGGGAAGGCTGGAAGGTAATTAGAAAGTGGATGCTCGCAGCACCTCCAGGAGGGCAACCATGGGGACCGGCCCCCCTGAACTCACGTTTCCCAAGGGCTGGCAGGGGCCACTGCTATAGGGCTTCCCCTAGGGCATGGACATCCCTGGTGGTACAGGATTTTCTCTCTTTACCTGGAGCCAGATGCCTGGTCATCGTGCCTCCAGGAAGGCAACCATGGGGACCGGCCCCCTGAACTCACATTTCCCAAGGGCTGGCAGTGGCCCACTGCTATAGGGCTTCCCCTAGGGCATGGGCATCCCTGGTGGTACAGGATTTTTTCTCTTTACCTGGAGCCAGATGCCTGGTCATCGTTTTTGAATGCCACCTTCGAGGGATGGTGAGCAAAGGGATGGGTTCATACGTGAGGACCCCCAGTCCCGTCCTCCTGGGCAGGATGCAGCCTTCCCTTTATCTGTCTTTACCATGATGCTCCTGGTGGTCATAGCCAGCCTTTTTTTCAGCAAAGAACTCACTCACTCTTGCCATTAGCGATACTCACTCAGTAAATCACTAAAAGTTTCACGTTTACACTCCTGTCTGTTTTACCTAACACAAATCCAGTGTGACCTAACTGGAATGACTGTGTTTTCTGGTGGAGAGTAGGGGATGATGACACCAGGCATTAGTTAAATTCATTTCTACAGTTTTGGCCACACTTTATACCACATGTTCCACTTACAACGGGTAAAACCTGCCTGATAAATATTTCATTAAGCAGTTAATCATATTGCTAGAGATAAAATCACCTTGCCATAAACACTGAGTAGAAACAAGCCAATGCATTCCACTGATATGCATCAAATGATCTATTACATATTTGTCATATGATTTGCCTAATCGTTTATTAAGTCCTTGCTAAGAGGCTCCATAGTCCGAGGAATCTGAGCCGTGCCTTGCACTGCCAGCCCTTCGGAGGGACGGCAGCCCTTGCAGGTTGGCTGTGCTGATGATAACCCTAGAGCCCCTGCGCTGCAACTCCTGGAGCAACCAGTACACGAGGAAACCTCTTGCTGGGCTCTAATCCTTTCCTGGGTGAGGAAACCCATCCCACCCAATGGACCTCTCAAACTTATGATGAGTAAAATCACTGTTTATCCATGAGATGTTTACTCTGCACACCCCAGCAGTTCTTGGGTTGCCCTAATGCCGTACCTGTCAGCCCAGCACTAAGCACGGGGCACTTCAGGAATCCCTTGGGCAGGCAATGGGGGGAGGAAAGCCAGAGCCTGAATTCCTTAAAAATATTTTACCTGTTGTAAGTGCTTTCCATTCTGATACGTAGTGTCTGAGGTGCCTGGGAAGTGACTGCTCTATCCAGGTGGCTGGGAATGGGAAATGAGCCCATCAGGAGGCCAAGCTGTCTGATCGCAGCTGAAGCACACACCCTGGAATAAACATGATTTCTGCTTTAATGGAGAAAATAA